ACATACATACATACATACATACATACATACATACATACATACATACATATATACATACATACATTTATACATAGATATATATATATATATATACAAGTTGCAAATTGAATATGCAAGATGCATAAAAATATTTTCATTTTTAAAAAATGTAAGAGAAAAATATGGATGTAATAAAAAATTAATATCCAATTGAAAATAAAGATTCTTTCTAATGTAATATTCACATTTATAATATTAGATATAACTATCAATATTTAATATATATTTATCTAATAAATGATTATAATCAAAATGATATAAGCAAAAATGATAAATTTCCAACGGAAGTTCTTTTTTATTAAGTTTTAGAAATAATCTTTATCAGCATAAGTATCTTGAATAACGTGTTTGTTTTCTACATTCGATGTACTGAATACAAATGGATCGCATTTATTATAAAAATATTTAACTGATAGCACGTGAAATTTTTTATAAAAAAATCATACATTGTATAATATCATAATTGAATATTATAACATAATTATAACATAAATACATATCATTTCTTCTATTGAATGAACATTGACGAATAAACTTTCAATTCCTGAGAAATTTCAAATTATTTCTGTATATAATTGTGAATTAATGAGTCAAATAAAAAAAAAAGATATGAAAAATGTTTCGAAGTAACTTTATAACTATATATATAACTTAATAATGAAATATCTTTGATTCGAAGAATGTATAAACTTATCGGTCAGTGACGAAATACAATTTTCTTGAAATGAAACGAATAACATATATTCGTAAGTCATAATTAAATTTCTATCGTAAATAGTTTTATTATAAGCAATTTATTATAAGCTAATACTAGCAGTATAAATCCAGTATAATTCCAAATGATTTTAGAATCATTTACTATCGCGATATTTTAGAGAAAAATCATAGTTCTTTTTTATTTGTTTTTTATATTATACATTTTTTAGAATCGATAATTTTATATATTATTTTATAATTTGTAATATCACATAAAAGATCTGAAAATTGATTAAACTAATTTATTATAATTAATAATTAAATTAATAATTAATAATTTATTATAATTAATACGAAATATCCTTTCTCTACAGATTTTCATTGTTACAAATAATTATTCAGACAACCAGAAGATTCATTTGAAAAATAAGAAACAGATTCATAACATTTCATCGTATCAATCGATTATTACAGAATTGTATCAAATTCTCTATATAAATATGGCAATTGGGTAAGTGTTGCGTATCATGAAAAAAATATTTCAAATTTCAAATATATTATTTTCCAAAATATATAATATTCATTTATTTCTATCATTTTCAGTTAGTTGCCGCTAAAAGACAACTAAATCTAAATGTCATCGTATGTCGAGCAGCAAACGAGTTGTATTACCATAATCTCATCGCAAAGGCAAGATTATAGCCGCGTTTCTATTCTGCTAATTCCATGTTAAACATTTTTGCTTGAAACGCGATCTCCCGGAATTTAATCTTTTTTATGCATATTATATTCGTTTCAGTTAAGTATGTCTTCTTCAATTACTACGTCGCGTAACAATTCTACAATAGTTGTCAATTCGTTCGATCGTTTATCAAAAGCTTGAATAACCAAATATTCTTTGATGCTGTCAAAACTGTCAAACAGAATAGTTCAACAGAATAGAATCAATTTTTACAATTTTTAAAATAATTCAGCGATAAAAAAAATCTTTCGTTTGAATAATAAATAAAATTCAATAAGTTTAATTATTGTATAAATTATCTTTTGAAAAATTAAAAAATATGAATTTTTAAAAAATTACTGCTATTATTTCAGTCAATATTAAATCATTATCTACTGTATAATATTTGTTCATCGATCGTGCACACGAGAAACAAGATAGCTTTTTAAGATGCATCCGGGTTGATTTGCAGAAAAAACGGGTCACGTCAATGGATCATTCATCGAATGAATCTGTTTTTTATTCCTTTCCGTTCTTCTTTATCCCTTGTTTTTCTTTTTTTTTTTCTTTTATAATTCTGCTTTTACAGGCATTACACAAGTGTCACACGTTGAGGCTAACTTATGTGATACTTGACACACTGGAACCAACGATAACGAGCCACCTGGAACGAGACTAACGAGCATCTCACATTTCGTATGATGTATTCTGCCATTACTGACATAGTACACGTGATACATACATCCATGTTAGATAAGTCACTACTTGTATTATTCGTCTTCACTACAGGGGACTTCTTTCTGCGAAGAAATCGGTCGAACCTCTTCCAATTATTTGACTTTGATTAGATCTCGATTGTTCGTACCCAATGCTTCGGAAGTAACATAACCGATTGTGATAATAAGTCAATAGAATTGAGTCATAAATCATAATTGATTTTCTAGCTGGCAACATTTTATATTAATTGTGCCGTTCCAGATAATATATTGTTAAAAAATATATTAGAAAAATGGTTGGTATCAATTATTATCGCTCAAGTTGAAACATATGATTAAGTCAAGCGAGAAAAATTGAATGAAATAATCATAATTATATTTATATTAAATATTTAATATACAGAGTATACAAAAATTTTCAGAACGTCTTGTTATTTATAATTTAATCATTAATCATTAATTTAATCAATTTAGTCATCAAACATTTTAAATCATTTATTTAACATAATCAATATCTATATTTATAAAAAAAAATGATATTATCAGTCAATATCTAAAAAGACTTCGCGGATTATGTTTATAAAGGCATACTGATTTTGAATTATTTTGAATCATGAATCTATTTTCAGAAATAAAATCCGATATTCAATTTCTTGTTTTTTATTTTAACTTAAGGTAACATAATATGAAATGATGATAGAATTATTTGAATATAATAAAAATCAGTTATGCAACATTTCATTTTATAATATAGATTGAACATTTCCATTTAAAGTTTACCACAAGTATTATGTTTATCAATTATTATTTTCAATTATTCTATGCAGTTGCATATTAAATTCTTTTCTTCTTTTATATATTTTACATTTTGAAAATGTCAATGAAATAAATATACATAGTACATACTATATTTTAAATAGAATATTAACTATCGATAAAAAGATAGTGATACATGACATTCCGTTTTTAGATATCTTTCTAGATACCCATCTTTCTTCTACGGCCCTTCTTGTCACATTGACTTATGCTCATTGGACCACACATTTCAATCTTGCTTCAGAACGTTTTCTCATGCTAATTTGGATGCGGCCCGTTTTCATCTCGCACGATGCTCACGTACACCATTTATAATATAAATCAGTTGTTTGCGAAATATTCTATACCGATGTATCGTATATCTCTAATTATTAACAATAACTTATATCTGTCAAATAAATTGTTTCACATTAATAGCATATTTTTTAAATGTATTATAAATGATTGCTTCTTCTGTTTCTGTCCTTTTTCTTTTTAATTTTTGAGTCGATAACAATTTTATGATATATAATTTTAAAAGTTTTGAAACTTCCAAAATTTAATCGATCGATTATAAATTATCAACGAAGTTTAAATTTGAATCTAAACATTTAGATTGTACATAAATATTCGTATGTGATTTATATTCGTAATCTATTGAAAGATGTAAATATTGATTATTGATATTTTTGTATCTTCAGAAGTATATATAAAAATTACTGATTACGAATATAAAATATAAATAAATATAAATATCAAAAATGGATTTACCTTTAGTAAGAATTTAATGAATGAGATTTAATCTAATCTCTAGATATATTTTTGAAAAACGAACTTTTTCTCTAGTTTTTAGAGATATAGAGACAGAAATGCGAAATTTTATCTCTTTCTTTACAAATTATTCGATTTTGTTTCACCAATGAAGGCATGTCGATATTTGCAAACCATTTCACGTGCTCCATTGTGTTTCTTTAATTTTATTATTAGGTTTCATAGCACGCGCAAACGCATAACACATGCGAAATGAAAATAGATTCATTGCGCCTCTGTTACCATGGCCTTCGTTGCATATTTGCTTACAAGGTGCGTCTTAAAAGCATTGTAAACACCGCATAGTCTACCTACCAGTTGATTGCGT